GGAAGTGGAGGAAGTGTTCCGTGATGAGACACAGCACCCAGCACTCACAAACATTACCTCAGGGCACTGTTTTATGCTCATTTGTCAGAAGCCACAAACAAAAACAAAACCCACATGAACTTAGCGTGGCTTCTCTGCATACTTCTCCATGGAAAGTAATCTCCTGGGTTCTTCTAGTTCCTGCTGTGATTATGCAATTCTCCAGTTTAGTAAATATGACATCTGCCAATTGCACTGCATTAACACGCCCACTTCAGCCCTCATCAAACCTAGTAGTTGGATATAATTTCACACTGCTGGCAAGCTTGCAACATTTCCTTGTACTGGATGAGAAATGCTCCCATCAAACTACCTTTTGTTCACTCTGTAGAGAGTCCCCGGCACACGCTTACCTTAACTACTGCCTTCTTAAATCGTTTTGGTATTAATTTTCCTTAGGAAGCATGAACCACACCAGGAATTCAAAATACACTCACACCAGTTACCCCAGCTGTATTCTGAGTCTAAGAGACTATGGTCTAAATAAGTTCTGAAACTGGAGCTGCTACAGAGCTTTCTTTTTGGCGGTGCTTTCAAGGTTACCAGCAGCAGAACTGCTCAGTACTTCAGACACTCCAATGAAACCACAGTGACTTTTATCAAAAACAGAGTCAAATGATGCTTTTATTTTTATTTCTCTTAAGAAATTTTTATCTCCTTTGTGGAGAAAACCAGTAGGACTCAACTGAGCATGTTTCTTGTGTGCTAGTCATCTTTAGCATAATTCAAAGCAAAGCAACTTTCCAGGCATCGCTGCACACTAGTCCTGCCGGAGACAAAAGCTTCAGGTCCAAACCTCCATCTCCTGAGGTCTGTGCAGGTGCAGGGACCTGCTGCACTGCTCCACCGAAAATGTGCCAAAAAGTCCATAATGAAAATGCTAACTCTCCATAGGTCTGCAACTATTTTCCTCAGCGGGTCTCTCTCATCACCTGACGTGATGAATTTCCTCATCTACCTCCTTCATGGTCTCAGGAGTCTCTTCCCCTAGAGGAAACAGCCCTCCTGAACCGCAATTTTTTTTCGAGGAATCTGGTATTCAGCAAGGCAGTAGATGTTGTCCCAGCATTTTGCTCTAAATGGCTGGGGTGTGTTGCTAATAACAGAACAAAGGAATTTTTCAAGCTGTAAAGACCTTTCCTCATGTTCTACATTTGTTTACAGTGTAGAGACCTAGTTTTGCTGTTATTTATCATCAACTCCAAGTTAAGTGTCAGACAAAACCTAGCATCTGAGTCATGTGTTTGCTGGGTTTTAAGTGCCTGCGTGAGGATATAAACTCTGAAGAGGAATATTTACAGCCAGACAAAAACACTGTTTTTGCCAAGGGGATTTTTAAACCTTCAATGAACTGTGAGCATTGATCTTACTCTAAATTTGTGGAAATGAGTTTCTGTGAAGCTGGATTTAATACCTAAGTCAACTTTATCACAATCTTAATTTACCCCCTATTTACTAGCAATATTTCAAATCACCCTTTCAGAGGAAACTACAATGACAAAAAGCACGAAAAATAAAAGGAAGAATCAGAATGAAGGTTAAAAAAAGATTACTTCCTTAAAGGGAATTCTTAGTAAAATACATCTGATATGTAAATAGGATTTACTCTCAAATGTCACTGGGATACTCTAACCCAATTTTCCCCATTTACATATCATGTACAGAAAAGAAAAAATGCAACTTTGAATGCAAAGAGAAAAAATACCTGACATGAATGTTGTCTAATGCTGTATTTCTTTTGATACTTCTAAGATAAAAGCTGAAGGTCCTAATGTGTACTGAGGAAAGTTTGTGTTTGGTTGTGGTTTTTTGTTTTTGTTTTTTTTTTAAACAGAGTAAAGCTCAGGCGATACAGCAAATGTGACTGTTTCAGCAGTAGATAAATGCTAGATAAACACTCCTTAACAGTAGTTTATCCCATAAAAATAATTCTATCCCTCTCTGAATGCTGATGCCTGCAGACAGCAGCAGTCCAACGAATACAGAGGGTACCAGGATTCTGGAATATGCTCTGGCAGAAGAGAAATTACAACAGCAGCCTGCTAATTCTGACTGACGGTGTTGGTGAAAGAACGTAACGTTTTCAAGGCTTCTCGCGGCAACGCTTCAACGAGCGGCGAGCCCTCACTCAAAACAGCCGGGGGAGCCTTATTTGTTGCGGGAGCTTCCCGAAGACCGCGTGCTTCGGTTCCCGTGCTCGGTTCGGTCGCCCTGGAGCGCACGTGCCCGCAAACCTTCCCCTCGAGGACCTTCCTCCTCGGCTGATGGCGGTTCTGCCAGCGAGGACGAAGGCCCGACCCGCGGAGGAGGAGGAGGAGGAGGGGGGCGGCCGGGGCAGCGCCGCGTGCCG